GACTTTTTTCTTAATCTTTGTTATGCTTTATGTGAATTATAGTTCCAATAGCCATGACTAGCAAAATGTTCAACGAGAGAACGAGTTTAAAAGTTTAAACATATATATACGCGAAACGAATTATTTTCCGAAGAGACGTAATCCTTTACAAAAACCATAAAATGATTATTTTGAAAAGACATAACTATTGACAAAACGATTATACTGAAAAATGCAACTCTTGAGAAAAAAAAAACATAAAACAGTTATTTGGAAAAGACGCAAATCTTGAAAAAATGGTTATATCGAAAAGATGCAATTTTTAGAAATAATCACCAAACGGTTTTTTACGAAAAGACACAACCCAAAAATATTCATTTTTTTAGGATTGCTATTATGTATAGATTAACCCTATAATTTTTGGGTACATCAATAACGTGACAAAAATGAATGTCGCTACCAGCGATAAAACTTTTTAGCCACAAAAACGACATTTAAGCGTAAAACATGTTTTTCTTCTAAAAACTACACAATTGTTTTCTTCTACTTTTTCTAAAATTGAGGAAAATCATATAAATTAGAGTTTTTGGCGAAATTTTCAAATCCAGTTTTGAAGATTTCAGAACAATCAACTAGGAAAATGCTTGTGAACCATAGGAACTCCATTGCAATTTCAGATTTTCAAAGACGGAATTGAATGGGAAGAGATAAATTTTTGGTGATTGAATGAGACATAAAACGATTATTTTTTCTCTTTAAGAATATGGAATAAAGTAAAAAAGTTCATTTCCTTTTAATGTTTCAAATATCTAGTTATCATTTATATTATAAAAATATTTCAAAATTACTATTTAAGTTTTTGTAAATCTTTTATTTTGTACAAAAATTTACGTATCTACAGAATCACTTGGGGACGCTTGGTAAGTTACTTTTAAGTCTTTAACTATAAACTTTTGGCTGCAGAGATTTTGGTTGTAAATGTTATAATTGTTACTTTAAATATTAATAAATGTGTGTTTTGTAATGGAAATTGTATAAATTATAACTGTTATTTTAATAATTATTTGGAAATAATTTTTTTTTTTGCGGAAAATATAAATTATGAAATAAATCTAATAAAAAATATCTAAACTAAATAAATTTCATTTATTTTTAGTATTTCATGTTTTGGATTTCATAAAAAAGGTTCATTAAGAAGTGGAATAAACTGTAAAACATTTGATTAAACACTCTAGCTACTGAATCCTTTTTATAAATGTAATATGAATCTTCAAATACTCTAAATGATTCTTAAAGTGTTTCCAACTCAAACGAGAAACAAAATACACATAGGTTTTTAAAATGATTTTTTTCCAATTAATTATTGTTCTTTTCATTTATTTTGTGAAATTTTAATAATTTATTGATTTATATGAAAATAGATTTTAAAAGGATAGAAAAACAAGAATAATAATTAATCAATCAAAATATTTTATTAATAAACTATATATTAATCTAAAAATACATTTAAATCATTTTGGGAAAGAAGAGAAAAAACAGTTCTTTAAAATTGGCTTCGATTGGTTACCACGTTTGCAAACGAGGTACCTTTCAACCGCCCGTTTGTTACCAATCAAACGATCGTCTGAACGGGTGGTTGAAACGGTCGTTTGCAACTTCGTTTGCAAAGCGGACTTTTGATAAAAAGATCGTTTGAACTAGATATGGATATTCGGGTAACCATTCAACCGCTACAATGCTACCAATCAAGCTTATATTGAACTTGTTCTTTACTATTCAACTGCCTTCTCTAACAACTGATTCTAACTGCCTTGTTGCAAACGACCCACTATTCAACCGCCCAAAAACTTTCAACCGCTTGTTTCAAACGGAGTCACCAATCGGACCCATTATTTATGTTCTCAAGTTAAAACCATCCAAGGAAGCTACTGCAAATTTACTACATATTGGAAAGTTAAATAAGTAATTTATGTAGTAGAATTATTTATGTTCTCAAGCTAAATGTCATTTTATAAGCATGGTACAAATTTACTACATAATCATACTAATTCTATATTCATAACTTCATACGACACGAAATATATAGATTGAGGATAATTATATCACTGCCCCAATGGTCTTTTTTTTTTTTTACCGGCTCAAATCAGCAGTACAAGAGGTTGCAAAGCTGAATTGTTCTTTTTAACCCCTCAACAATCCCTAATATTGTTACAGAATCGGTTTAAGAAATTATTATAGCAACGATGATTCCACACTGCCTTAGAAAAATAATAGTAAAACCAACTCATACAACATAGCAGTCTAAATCACGACAAATGCCAAGGCACAAGACACAGACAAACCATTTATAACTTTAAAAACAGAACTGCGAGATAAAATAAAAGAGACTAAACAAAAGAGAGACCTAGACCAGCGTTACGAAGAAACCTTGGCCACTGTCCTCTTACCTTATTCAAGACCCACATGAT